CATGTGAACGTGTGTTCGACAATGAGCCATGAAGTACAGACCACTAGTCACTTCACTCCTTGCTTCCACTGCCCTTCACCACACACTGGAATACACCACATCTTTAATCCATAAAACCCTAAACCCTATCCCCACAGAGGTGGATTTGCATACTGTGTGGTGGGCAAAATGAGTTCACATTGGAAACAATGACTGCATATCTTTTTCTCCTAAGAAATTTGTCATTAAGAATTTGCATCAAAGAATTAAAGATGTTCATAAACATACATAAAAAATGTTCACAACTGTATTTGTACAATATCATTGCATTGGAAATGTAAATTAAAGAAATAATAGTACATCCTTGAACTGGGATACATTGACACATGCATTTTCAGAGGTCAGTCTTATTAAACTCTTAAGCTTTTGAAATATTACAGTATTAGTGATTTTATGACAGCATCTGAGAGAGAAAATAAAGTTTTGAGAACAGCAGCAGCATGCATGCTGGAATTCAAAGAAAAGTTTATCTAAGACAGGGTTTGGAGGAGGCCCAAATAGGGCAGCATGATGGAAATGATATTCGTTACTTGCGATTTTCCTTGTAGATAGTCACTATTTGTTAGTTAAGGCTGCTGTGACAAAACAGCACAGACTGGATTCTGGAAGCACACAATCAAGCTGGTTTCTCCATAAAAACATATGTGGACCTACTGGATCATTTGCATACCTTTGCAAGCTTATCGATGTCAATACATATTGCTGCGGCCTTTAGTCTGAGCTCCATGCACTGTCACCATAGTGTTTAACACACTCATGACTGTGCTCATCCATTCGGTGCTGATTTAGATCTGTGAAAACCGCGTATCTCCATATGAAAAAGAAGACAATATAACAATAATGTCCGTTTAACATTCCAGACAGAGGGTTAATAATGTCAATTTAACATTCCAGACAGAGGGTTAGTTTTGTCTCACAATACAAAACATACTTAAAACATTTGAATTTAATATGCCTTGAATATTTTAAACTACTTCTAGCTCCAGGCTGGTCTTTGGGGGAATTGTTTCTTAGAGATAGTCCCACCTTGGTGATTGCCCTGTCAGAATTATGGGCACTCTGTAGTTTTGGTCTTGGTAGTTTTTCTAATAATTCTGTTAAAAGTACTACAAAAGACTGAAAATTTGAGGATGTAACGTATATTACATAACACCGTGAACCAGGGAGACTTACGTAACAGATTATTGGCATTTGAGTATGGTACATGATAGCCTCTTTACAGAAAAACTGCACACAACTTTAAAGCTGAACTGTCACTGGAATGACTATTTCAAATGAAACATGATACACGCTTTTCTAGATTTTCAATAGGTAAGAACTGTCTACAAATTGGGGCTGGAGGATGGCTCAGTAGATATGAGTGCATGCTGCACAAGAAATAAGACTTAAGTTCTATATCCAGCAACCACATTAAATCTAGGCACCTGTAATCCAAGCTGTGAGGATGTTGAAGAGATGAAGATGACTGGGACTTGGTGGCTGCCAGCCTAACCCCAGCTTTAGCAAGAGAACCTGTCTCAAAGGAATAAGGTGGAGAGTGACAGATAGAGAAGGACACTCTCTTCCATCTCTGGCCTCATCAGCATATTCTTTGGCTGGGGAAAATGCACACACACACGTCTGCACACCCCATGTACACATACTCAGACATTCACAAAAGACCTGTTCAGAGTGAAATGTCTGATGCTTGACACAGACAATAAAATCTCAATTACAAAAGAACAGAGAATGTTAATAGGTATAATTCTTGTAACAGCCTCAAATTACAAGCAATGCAAACACCTGCCAACTGGTAAATGGATAATCACAATATGGTACAAGATAGAAAAAAATACTGATGGGTGCTGGAGTATGAAGGAACTTTAAAAAGTTATGCTGGGGAAGAAACCAGATGCAAAAGATATATATGCATATATATATGCAAATTAAAAGAGATATAAAGGAGACACACATAATGAGGTGCTTCTGGCACTACTTGAGCTTGTTGCATTCTGGGACTTCACTGAGGCCTTGGTTCTGAACGCACTGCCTGAATGCAGTCTGCCCTGTGCATGCTCTCACACCAGGAAACATCAACAAACACTGCCTGAAACCCTCATCTCAGACTCAAGACTAATGTATGTTATGAATTCAGTATTTTCACAGCACATAAAAAGGTTTCTGCTGTAACAGAAATATAATGGCTTCTTTCCAGAAAACAAAGACTTAATATTTTCCTACAATCAGCCAGGCATGGTGGCGCACGTCTTTAATCTCAGCACTTGGGAGGCCACTGCAGGTGGATCTCTGTGAGTTCAAGGCCAGCCGGGACTACATACTGAGTTCAAGGCCAGCTGGGGCTACAGGGAGACCCTGTTTCAAAAAGACAGAAACAAACTTTCCTACAGTCATTCCTTAGCATAAATCAAAACTTTATCTTTGGGTTGCATTGTGTTAGGATGTTTCATTTTTAAAATTGCCGTGAGGGCTGCTGAATTTAGTTTCATAAAAAAATGGTTAAATGAATTTGGCCTTGGTATTAGGAAAGAATTTCCAACAATTTTTGAAATGGCCTTAAACTCTGCTAAAGCTGAGTTCTCAGCACTGATGATTATAAAAAGTATTAACTCTGAAAGAAGTTGAAGATGTTTTACATCCTGCAGAATCAAATATCCAGTCAAGATTTAATTATTTATGCAAAAATAAAGTGCATCCATATGATTAGCATGCAAATGTGATCTCTTTAATAAAAGGTAAAATTTTATGCATACCAAAGAAGTGCTTTAAAATACATTCATGGGAGCTGGAGAGATGGTTCAGCATTTAAGAACACTAGCTGCTCTTGTAGAAAATACAGATTCAGTTCCCAGCACCCACATGGCAGCAAACAATTCTCTAATTCCAGTTCCAGGAGATCCGATGCTCTCTTCTGGCTTCTGCAGGCATTACACACATGGGTACACTTACATGCAGGCAAAACACAGGCAAATACGTAAGATAAAAATAAAATAATTTTAAGATAGTTAAATGAGAGCTACCCACTTGAATTAGTGGGTAAGTAATTAATTCCTATGGCTTAAATGTCAACATAATACAATAAATAATCTCTTAAAATTGCTTTATTTAAGGGCCACTGAGATAGCTCAGATGTAGGGGTACTTACAGGGCACCAACTTGGTGACCTCACTTCAATCCTTGGGGCACACATGGAAGGAGAGGACCATTTTCTTGACATAGGTACACTCCCCCAATCCACACAATAAATAAATGTAATTTAAAAAATACTTTATTTAAACTGAAGCAAAAGACCAGGTGTGGTGGTGGTGCACACCTTTAATCCAACCACCCAGGAGGCAGAGGCAGGTGGATCTCTGTGAGTTCAAGGCCACTTGGGGAGTTCTAGGCTAGCCATACATAACATACATAAGTTACATAGTTAAGACTCTATTAAAAAAAAAAAAGCCAAAGAGCTGAGAGTGTGGCTCAGGGGTACAATACTTACCGAGTCCCAATCTCCCCACATGAAACCAGATGGGTATTTTCATCAAATATTTATTTACAGTGGTATATCATATCATATGTCTGAATGCACCACATGCCTGGTTCCCACAGAGTTCAGAAAAGGGTGTTGGATCATCTAAAAGTGTAGTTACAGATAGTGAAGCCAAGTGGGTGCTTGGACCTGAACTCATGTCCTCTGTCAGATCAGCATGTGCCCTTAACCACTGAGTCAACTCTTCAGCCTCCAGGGTTATATTTTTAAAATTGCATTTTAACTGGGATTTTCACAAAATAGAATTTATTCAAGGAATATCAGAAAGATGATAGGTACAGGCTGGCATTTTAGACAAATGGCATTAGATGCTTTTGTACAGGTACGGAAGACACAACCAGAACCATGAAAATGTGGCTGAAACAGGCAAGAAGCCTTTGGCGCCATTAAAAGAATATAATTTACTGTATGACAGAAATCTGTAAATGTGCCAGATCTGTTTAACGTATCTTCTCCGGTGATATTTAAAATGAGTTGAGGACAATAGCTGGGGTGGTGGCTTGGGCTGGGAAACCCGGGCAGGAAGATCACCGTGGTCAACCTGAGGGAAGAGTTGAAGATAACGTGCCTGAAATACCGTTGGGAGAATTTTCTGGGTTTTGTGTAGGGAAGGTACTGGGGACTGAAAGTAGAGCCTAGCATGCTCTAATATCCCCTTTGGAATTTTTGGTAAACTCCTGTCTTCTACATAGACCACTCCCTCAGTTCAGGATTCCAGATCTACGGACTGTATGCCAGGATATATCCGCATTTATAACTGCTGCTGGTATGAAGAATCATTTGCCTGGGGGCGGGAGAGAGAGCTCAGTTCGCCAGGTGCAGAGGATCTGAGTGGATCCCCAGAACCCACTTAAAAAAGACAGGAGTGGTGGGGAGCGCTTGTAATCCCAGCCCTGGGGGTTGGGTGGAGGGCGGGAGCAGGCGATCCTTGGGCTCGCTGGCCAGTCTAGCTTCCTCAGGCGAGGCCCAGGTCCCAGTAGCAGAGCAGGTCTCAGAAGGACAGGGTGGCCAGTGAGGACGACTCCCAAAGTTGCCTCTCTGTCCTCCATCGGCAGGGTCGCACACGTACACACATTCACGCAAAGTGAGTCATCCACTTTCTGGGCGGGTGTTAAACGAAAATGAAGGCAGCTGTCACTACACACAGCTGTCACTGCCTGCCCCTCACGTTCCCGGTACTTCCAGTCCGGGTAAAATGAGGGAGGCGTGGAGTCGCCCAAAGATAACGTTCTGGTGTGAAACCAAAAAGAAGGCAGCTGTCACTACACACAGCTGTCACTGCCTGCACCTCACGTTCCCGGCACTTCCAGTCCCGGTAAAATGCGGGCGGCGTGGTGTCGCCCAAAGATGACGTATTTCGATGCACCGGGCAGGCGTGGGCTAGGGACGGCGTCCCGTGAGGCGGAAATACTGAAGTGCGCCTGCCCGGACGTGGGAGGCGGGAGCCTCGAGGGGCGGAGCTGTGCGTGAGCCGCCTTTGAGCAGCGTTGTGTCCCTGTGGTCTTCAGACCGCCAGCCGGCCTGTTGACGAGACTGCGGACACCGCGGTGTAAGTGCTGACTCCGCAGACCACGGTGGAGTAGGTGCGGACCCCGTTCGCGTCACGCGCGGCTCCAGCCTCGGAGTTCCGTTTACAGTCCTCGTCGCCACTGGCGCCGCCGCCCGAGCCACAGGCCTCCGCAGACCGCGGATCCTATGAAGGCGTGGGCCCCGCCACCGCCCTCGCGGCGTCGCTGGCTTCCCGGACCTCCCCGAACCTGCACGGGCATGGCCGTGGCATCAATATGATCGTGGAGTCGCCGCTGGAGCCAGGGAGGAAGGCGGCGTGTGCGCCTCCGGAGGCGGCAGGCATGCCCGAGAAGCGTCCAGACTCGCAGGTCGGTGCCAGCCTAGGGTTGAGTTCCGATGGGCCAAGTGCCTGGGCGGCCTGTGTCCGGCCAGGGCGGGCCGAGGACGAGCTCCGCTGTGGAGCTTCGTGTCCAATCCTTTGCAAGCTGCGGGATATCGGCTTATTGTTTCTAGAGCCTGGAGACCCGGCACAGTAGTTCTCGGGCACAGAGTTTTCCATCCGGTCGATTGACGCACACCCGCTTAGATACTGTGTAGTTTTTGGTGCACACCCGCTTAGATACTGTGTAGGGCGCCCTTCAAAGCATCCTTCGGCTGTGTCTACCCAGTAACCCGCCGGGAAGGGGGCACCGCCTTTCTGCTCCTTCCGCCTCTGGGCTGCAGAGGCCTGAGTGGTCGGCCAAGGGGAAGCTGTGGTCCCTAGACCTAGGGGGAACAAGTTGAGGCCGGTACCTGACGGTGAGATGACTTTGACAGCAGCACTGGAAAGCTTATTTTCATTGGCCTCAATTCACAGGACAGGCCTTAGCAGTGCCACCCAGGTGTCTTATGGTGGTAAAGTTAAGCACAGCACGGGGGGTTGTCGTTTCTTCAGTCTTAAGTATAAAAACAATTTGGGGGGCAGGTACTCTTTAGAACCTAACACATAGAAAATGTTGGATTGAGTTGCGTACAAACTCTGGCCACCGTGGAAGTTTTCTCAAAGAAATAGATGCTGTCGTTTTTTGTTTTTTTTTTCGATTTTTAAGCTTGCATATCAAATTTTAGTTAAAGTGTACTAGGTGATTACATGTGATGTGTGTGGCTACATGCGGTGATGTGAATCCCCATTTAGTGGAGTTGGGAGAATGCTGAAGTAGCGGTAGGGTGAAATCCTAGGTCAGAAATCATACATGCAAAAATACTGAGGAAAAACACTGCCTCCCAATATTCTGTGAGGGCTTACTTACTAGGTGCCAGGTTGCAGCAACCCTCACAAGCCTTGGAGTTTTGTCTGCTCAACATCTTTATTTTTGAAAAAGCATGGGTGGGGAAGGTCATTTCTTCAAAAAATATAGACTTTTCTAATGTGGAAAGTGGGGAGTTTGCCTTGTAGGGGGAATTCTGTAGAATTGGTTTTTCTGTTAAGTAGGTAACACTTCTTCCTAAACTGGAAATGAAACTAAATCACCAGTTCTTCTTTTTGTTTTCTGCCAGTTGATGGACAGTAATTAATTACTAACTACTGTCCAAGCTAATAACCTATGAAGTGACTTCCTTCGTCTCTTCCTATATCTACAACAGTGCATCTTCATGGACCAGATACAGCATTTTGTCCTCGCCTTTGCATCCCTCGGGTTCATTTTCTCAACATTTTTTGACCCCCATCCCTTAAGACCCTTGTTACCATCAGTCTGCTGTTCGCATTGCTGGTTAGTGAGATTCAACATGTTACTGTGATCATTAGTGCGCCATTTGTTTTCCACTGGTTGCCTATGCCTTAAACTGCCAGCTGGAAGCATCTTGGCCTAGTGATTAGGGGACCATGCTTAGAATTCTAGTTTCCATCTTTATTACCTGTGTCACCTTGGGCAAGTTACATAACTTTTCCTGATAATAGTGTTTACCTCATCGGTTGTGAGGGTTGCTGCAACCTGGTACCTAGTAAGCCCAAGTAAATACTAGGTGATGTTACTCTTAATGTTTTGTACGTGTGATTTTTTTTTTAATGTGTATAGTATATGTGTGTGCTTGTTCATTTATGTGCACATGCATATTGTGCACGTGTGTGGTAGAAGTCTATGTAGGATATCTTTCCTCTATCTGTCTCCATCTTATTATTAGTGTGTGTGTCTATAATGTATGTGTGGGATAAGATGCTCAATGCTGCAGCTCGTTTATAGTTTTGAGAACAACTTTGGGGAGTCTGTTCTGTCCTTCCACTGGGCTCTGGGACTCAAAACACAGGCCTCAGGCTTCCACAGAAGGCACTTTTTGCCTGCTGAACAATCTCACTGCCCTTCCACTGTATTTTTTGAGACAAAGTCACTGAAACTGGAGTTCATGGATTGGCCATTAAGGTCCAGGGATTAACCCCTACCCCTTCCTGTGTTAGGGTTACAGATACACAACATCTTGGCCAGCTTTTTATGTAGATGCAGGGGATCTGAACTCATGTCCGTATGCTTACATGACAGGCACTTCACTGAGTGAGCTATCTCCCCAGTTCCTGTGAAGTTTGAGTGATCATAATATATGCATGAGCCCTGACTGTGATAGGAAATACTCAGTTCTCTCCCATTTCCTAATTGAGACCAGAAGCAGACTCCAGTCTAAAATCAGTGTTGATAATTTTATGTGCTTAAAGCAAAAACTTTGATGGAATGTTTACTCAAAGAAACCTATACTCTGTTTATTCTCCATCCTTTGTTCTTTGGATCCTGATGTGTATGTAATTTTGGGTGCAAATTCCTCCCATTTTTTCCCTCTCTTCAGAGTAAGTACAGCATTATTGATCACTGAGAGTATTGGCTTTTTTGGCCTTTCCTGTAGTTAGTGCAGTAACTACCTTGTGCAGGGCCAGTGCTTAGTCTCAGTGTCTGGAGGCTGTGAAAGCAGTGAATATTCTTAGTCACAGGCACTCATGGCATATACCATGAGTATCCCTTTCTTTCCTGTATCCCTTTCAAATACTGTGTCCTACAGCTTCCATGGTTCTATTAAAGAGTTAAAATGTTCTTTTTGCTTGGTTTTAGGGAATAATTAGTTTTAATTCTTTTGGTGTTACTACTGATCACAGAAAACACTGCTTGTGTACAGGGAATTATTTAACAAGTTTCTTACCTCATTTGCCAAAAAGATGTATGTACTTGAAAAACATTGTCAAAGAGATGTCATGATTTCAAAAATAGAAGGGATCAAGCATTTCATGGAATCAGGCATTTCTTCTCCGAGAGCCTCTGTCTAAAGGAGTGTTATGTCTATCAAAAAACCTCAAATTTTATTGTCCTTTCTTTGCTCTGTTCTTCCTTGCTATGGAGGATTTGACACACATTTGAGGTATTTTATCAGAACTGTTTGAATGATCACTAAATGTAGATTTTCTGTTATGTATAACTTTTATAGTCAAGTAAAGGAACAGTTACTTTGCAGTCATTTATTCTTGGGCATCTGATAACAATTAGGATTTGCGGCATAGAAAATACACTATTTCTTTCAAGATGTTCATCAACTCCAAGAAGCCATACTTGAATTCCAGTACAGAGCCGTGATGTGGAAACTCACAGGATCAGTAATATTCTGGTGACTTTTGATGTCTCTTGAGTTGATTTTCCTTAGGCTGTTCCAGCCTGTCCCTGCAAAGGCTAATATTTTTTAAAAAAAATAAGAATATAGGCAAAGGGAGGACTGCCTAAATATGAGATCCTGAGTTCATATCCCTAGCACTCATGTAAGAAAAGCTGAGTATAGCTGTGTGGCATGCCTGTAAGCCCAGCTGTATAGGAGGTAGCAATAAGAGGATTGCCATGGCTTGCTGGTGCCAGTTTAGCTCTAGATTGAGGGACCCTGTGTCAAGGGAATAAGGCGGAGCGTGGTAGAGCAGGATACCTAATGTACTCCTTTGGCATCTTTGCATGCATGGCGATGGGCACACGCAGCTGCACACACACATGCACGTGCACGTACACATACACATACACATACACAAAACCCATACACAAAACCCATAGGCAAAATGGAGCTGGGCATGGTAGCACATGCCTGTAGTCCCAGCACTTGGAATATGGAGGCAGGAGAATTCGAGAATTCAAGGTCATCCTTGGATACGTGTTGAGTTTGAGGCTAGCCTGAGCTATGTGATAAGACCCTGTATTAAAAAAAAATGAACAAACATAGGAAAAATGGAGTAGCAACTTCTGTTTTTAAAACCTGGCCCCAAAAAACAGGCATGGGGTTGGGAAGATGGCTCAATGAGTAAAACACTTGCTGGGTAACCATGAGAACCTGAGTTCAGATCTCCAGAACCCTTGCAAAGCCAAATACAGTAGTGGGTAATACTAGTATTCCTAGGCCAAGATGGCAGGCAGATTCTGAAGAATCTCTGGAAACTCACAGGCCAGTTATAGCACAGAGATCAGTAAGAGACCCTGTCTCAGAGTGGAAGGTGAGATCTGTTGTTGTCCATATTCAGGGATTTTCTGCTGTTTCTTCCTTCCACATGGACTCTGGGCCATCCTTTTAGTGTTTATATGGGGAAAATGATCAGTACTGCTGTGGCACTTCTGCAAAGAATCTTGTATGCCTTTTTTTCTCCCTTCTATTTTAACTCTGATGTGCTTCCCAAGCCCCTTTTACTTTCTCTTTTGAAATCTAGTCTTCCACTAGAAACTTTATTGATATTATTTGTACTTAGAACTTTCCAGTGAGGTAATATGATATATAGTACCTCAATTCCCAGATGTTTTCCTGTCTTTATTATTATTTAATCTTCCTAAACAAAATGACTGGTTTTCATTTCATTAGTCTGATTTTGTTAGAACTTTCAAAAGCAATAGGCGGGGCATTGTGGAACATACCTTTAAGCTTAGTACTCAGGAGGCAGAAACAAGAGGATCTCTGTGAATTTGAGGCTTGCCTAGTCTACATGGGTAGTTCTAGGCCAGCCAGGGTTACATAGTGAGACCCTGTCTCAAACTAACAAAACAAAACAAACAATTATTATATTTATAATATTTTACGTATGTTGGTACACCTCACCTGGTCATTATCATCTATTCCTGGAATAATTCTTAAGGTGAGTGATAGAGCTGTGTGAGTGACTGTAAGTAAATGTAAGTGTGTTGAGATAACTGCCTTGATGAAAATGCCCAGGCCAACTGTGCAGGTGCTGGGACTCTCCTTTTCTTCATGCTCCAGACTAATTTTTACTTGACAGCTTAGTTGCTTCTGTTACAGAAGCAAAGGAAGGGAAAAAACTGAATTATGTGAGCATTGACTCTTGTTCACATCACTCACAAAGTTGGAAATTTTCATACATGTAGTTGCTCCATGCTTAAGTAGCTCCACT